AGACTGTTTTCATGCTGACGATTGCATCTAGCATGAAACAGCCTGTCCCCTCTGACTGTTGACTTCTATTTTCACTTTTATATTTACACACGCTCTATCTCTGATAGTGAGCACTTTATTCTATAAATATAGCACACCTTAAGACTATATTTCTTCATCCATATATATATATACAGTGTAACCCGGATATAAGAGACCCGGATATAAAAGAAACCCGGATATAAGAGAAACCCGGATATAAGAGAGATTTTCTCTGGTCCCAAATTAGAGCCGGTGTTAATGTATATAAAATAGACCAAACCCGGATATAAGAGAAACACGGATATAAGAGACTTCTTCTCCGCTTCCGACAACTCTCTTATGTCCGGGTTACACTGTATATATATATATATATATATATATATATATATATATATATATATATATATAAATTAATTGATTTAAAATATGGTTTTTCCGCTACACAGTTCTAACCATGTTTCAAAAAACGAATTTTGGAGTAACTTTTAAAATTACTGGGTTTTAAAGACACAGCAAAATTCGCTTGAGGATGAAATGGAACTAATGTCTTTAATTTAATTACAAAATTAAATTCTGAGCTTTTAGCTTCCATTTTTGAAACATGGTTAGAACTGTGTGGCGGAAAAAAAATTTAAATCAATTAATTTATAATATTAATGCTCTGTAAATTTACATTGAGCACTATTTTGTAAAAATAAAAATATCTATAAGAACACCGGATTATATTTTACTGTTCTTTCTTTTTATTTACACACACACACACACACATATATATATATATATGTACACACATATTGTTGTTATTAGTAACACGTTTAAGCCGTTGTGACTTCTGATTTTAATCAGGTGCCTTGACAAATAAGATGAGGACAATAGTCCACATGTAAATAATCCCAGAAATTTAGATAAAAAATATGAAATATACTATGGGGAGAATGGATGCGTGTTTGTAGAAAATCGAGTAAGTATTTACGCACATAACCATACGCACACTTGCTTTCCACGTCTTTTGATTGATTTTCTGAGGATTGTTTCTCTGTCAATTGTGGAGCCAGTTCTGCATAATCAAAGGCTAACGAAAAAAAATATATTGAAAGCAAAGTTTGACCATTTCCAATGCTTATACCGTATGGTGTTCTGTGCAGCCAAGCACAATTGAACACCTGCATTGACACCTGTAACAAGAATAAATCGATATTTCTTTCACTGATCAAGTTTGACATGAGAATCTTTCTCACGCAATGTGTAAGGTTTCCTTCCTGGATTCGATAGCCCGAGGCCAGTTCTTTTGTAAGCCGTAGACTTGATTCGACATGTACAGAGCCGGAAGAAGTCTATTGATTCATAAGTATCTACGACTGTGCTTGTAGATGGATAAAAAAAAAAAAAATCAAGACAACTCCGATAAGTATACCTGTAGGTAATTAAAACTTGATTAACCAATCAGAGCCATAGGTGATTTTCATGACTGTTTTAGCAAAAATGGAAATAAAAAGGACACTGAGACATCGCATCATAAAAATAGCTGACATTTCTAAGGCACGTAATGAGGAAAGATGGCTTTGAAAATTTGACACTCACAAGCAGTGTCGGATGGGCTTCAAGACGAATAGCATCTAGTTTTGTGCCCCCGATAAGACTAAAAAAAAAAAAAGAAAGAAAGAAGAGGATATTCGTTTATTTTCAGATTTAATGAGGTTCCATCGAACTTATTTTAAACAATTTAGAGTATTTGCTCCTCTCTACTTGGAGTAAGTCTTTTAAATTCAATAAATTTAGAATTTCAGTGTAAAACGGGATTAACTCTAGATACCTATCTGTAGGGTGTAAAGATCGAATTAAAAAAAATATCACAAATTTTCTAATGAAATAAATCGGATGAATTTTAAAAATCATGAAAAGTTTTAGTTGAAGGATTTCATGTCTTATACCAGAAAAGTATCATCTAGAAACCTTTTTGTATAGATTGGGGGATAACATGTACAATAAAGGGGCCGCAAAATTATCTTAGCCTAGTGGTATCCTGAAGCCAAAATCCGGTCAAGATGGAAGTAGACTTTACAAGAAACCGGAAACCCTGTCCTAAGCATAAAACAAGGGATAAACCTCAATTCCCGTTGAAAAGAATGGAAAGGAGTGTGAACCGGGCCATAGGCGTACCTATCTACTCTTATTGAGAAAAAAAATACTAAAAAAAATCAAATTTTAGGCTTTCATAGTTTTTAGTTGAAATGTTTTATACGAAAAAAGCGTCATCTAAAATATATATCTAATGAAGTGGTTTCCAAAGTGTAACAGCCCAGGGACATCTTAAAGCCTAAATTCGACCCAGCTTACAGGTAATATTGAAAGCCAAGCGGAAAGAGGAAATCAGTACGTAACCTAGCTAACGACCTTGCGTTAGCAAGAATAGGGATTAGGAGAGATCTCAAAAAGCAACTTTTACTAAGGACTAAAAAAGATAGGAAGTCGTGGAGAGCCATGGTTGGTCCTGTGCTAAATGGATATGGCACGCCAGACAGTCAGTTATGTACCATTGCTGATACACGCTAAGTCGATCATTTATCTTTTAATACATGACTAACGAGGCAGATTTCTTCGTGCAGTTGGTTGCCATTTCTTTCTGCGGTAGACCAGTTGCCATCCAAGGCTATAGAATCCGGTCTGTCCTGCTATTTACCCATAGCTGGGGGAGAAGAAGAGGAGTCATACCTTTCTCAAGGTTATTAGCACGTAAATGAATGTAATGGATTCGACTGGAATTCGAACTCGGCTCTCCGATTCCTCAATCCGAGCCGCTATCCATTACTTAACCGATATGACACGTAGAAGTTAGATAATTATGTTTTATATATCGACATAGATATTGACTGAATAAAGGCAGATAACAGAAGATGGCATCCCTTGAGTGGCTGTTCTCGTGTTACATGCGACTTAAATGAGAAAATCAATGGTGGTTCTCTAGAGATAGTGATTTGCTAAGTATAGCTTAGTTGCGGCTCAGGGTCGAGATTATGGGGCACTCAGGGTGGATCGAACTCATTACTTAGTCGTAACTTTTTTTACAAATACTTTCATGGTAAATGCTCCGATGAGCTGCTTTCGCTGGTTCCCAGACTTCGCGAATTCAAGCGTCCTACGAGGCTGGCATCCCGCTCTCACCCTTTCACTGTTGAAACTGTTAAATGTAGCCGTCTCTTCTACTCCAATAGCTTCATATCTCGCACTTCTCGCCTGTGGAACTCCCTTCCTTATTCCTGTTTCCCTGAGAGCTATAATCTCCAACTATTCAAATGTAATGTCTATCGACATCTCGAGTTGCCTTGATCTATCCACTATTCTTCTCCTCATCCTTTCCTCTATCATTCCTATCTGCTCTCGCTCCAAATCCCCTATAACCCCTTACGTGTTAGTGGCTTCCCGCCTTGTTTGGGGTGAAATGCTTAAAAAAAAAAAAAACTGATCTAGCGGGACAAGCTTGCTAAACACGTCGAAGAGAGCATGGTCCTCTTGGGATAGATGCATAAGATCTTATGGCATACACCTTGAGAAAGGTATGACTCCTCTTCTTCTCCCCCAGCTATGGGTAAATAGGACAGACCGGATTCTATAGCCTTGGATGGCAACTGGTCTACCGCAGAAAGAAATGGCAACCAACTGCGCGAAGAAATCTGCCTCGTTAGTCATGTATTGAAAGATAAATGATCGACTATGCGTGTATCAGGAATGGTACATAACTGACTGTCTCATTATTTAACACAGCTCGGAAGAGAAGATATAAATTCTGGCTTCTCCCAAAGGCATTTGTATAAAAGTCAACTTAAGAAACTAGGCGAAAACTTGAACCCTGATATCCAATTCCAGTGTCTAAACGGTTCACCGTTGCACTTTTAAGCTATGAATTTCTTATTTAGCGAATTTATTGCTGACCTGAGATGGAACAAATACATTGAGTCAATAGCTTCGTCCACCGCAAGGAAAGTTGGCCCCCTGTGCCCCGCCAGGAAATTTTTCTCCCCGGAATCGATCCTTCAAATCTACAAATCAACCGTTCGCCCTTGCATGCAGTATTGCTACCATATATGGTCTGGTGCCCCTTATGTTTGTCTCAAGTTTCTTGATAAGATCCAGAGACGGATATGCAATGTAACTGGCCCTGATCTGACATCTCGTCTGCAGTCGCTCTCTCATAGATGTGCCGTCGCCTCCACCTGTCTTTTTTTTACAAATACTTTCATTGTAACAGCTCCAATGAGCTGCTTTCGCTGATTCCCAAATTCATGAATTTAAGCGTTCTACTAGGCTGGCATCTCGCTCACACCCCTTCACTGTAGAAACTGTTAAATGTAGCCGTCTTTTCTACTCCAATAGCTTCATTTCTCGCCTGTGGAACACCCTCCTCTCTTCCTGTTTCCCTGATAGCTATAATCTCCAACTATTCAAATGTAATGTCAATCGACGTCTCCAGATGCCTTGATCTATCCCCTATCCTTCTCTTCATCCTTTCCTCTATCACTCCTATTTGCTCTCGCTCCAACTCTCTGTAACTTCTTGCGTTCTAGTGGCTTCCCGCCTTGCTTGGGGTGAAACGCTTAAAAGAAAAAAAAAGAGGAAATTATCTCCCAAATGCCAGATTAGGACCGATAACATTACAGACCCCTGCTTCCAGATCATCCCATATTAATGAATATGATTCCCAAGGCTCATACCGATTCCTTTTCGTATTCTACTAGACTTGAGAAAGTATGTTTCCTTGGTCTCTACAATCTTAACCTTTTCAGGTCAGCCGTTATCTACCGGTCTCTATCCAATATATCCTCATATTATGCACTTTTTACTTACTCCAAGAACAACGTCGTTTAGTAAGCCACTACTAATATTTGGTAAAAAAAAAGATAATCTTTATTCTTCGTTCTGATTGTCTTGATGTCTTGAAAATTTCCATCTTGTTTATTAACTTTTCTTTCATTTCTTTTCAGGATGGACAGCATTATTGGATCAGTTGGTCGGTTAGGCAAAGTTAAAGTCCGCAATGACGATGACCTCATAGATCGAATGAACCATTTATACACAACGGGCATCCTCATCATATTTACAGTGGTGGTCAGCGCGCGCCAATATGTCGGTGACCCCATTCGATGTTGGTGCCCCGGTGAATTCACAGGCGCGCACGTCGACTACACGAATAACGTGTGCTGGATTTCAAACACCTACTATGTTGATATGCAGGACCAAATACCCGTGGCCCACAATAAGCGCAAAGAAAAAGAACTCAGCTATTATCAGTGGGTACCCGTGGTGCTTCTGTTGCAAGCTCTGCTTTTTTATTTACCGTGTATCATCTGGCGACTGCTCAACGGCCAGTCCGGTATCAACGTCGACCGGATCGTCAGCGTGGCCAGCGATGCTCAGTATGAAAGCCCAGAGAACAGGACACGGAATATCAAATACGTGGTCAGACACATGGATCGGTGTCTTGATAATCAACGTGAAACACGGCATTCATTCTGCATCCGCCTTCGTCACATCCTGTCCGCGAATTTGTCCTTGCTATGCGGTCGACGCTACGGCAACTACCTTGTGGCTGTTTATTTCTTAGTCAAGATACTTTATATTTCCAACGTCATCGGACAGCTTTTTTTACTGGACTCCTTCCTCGGCTCCGGCTACCGGATTTACGGCTGGCAGGTGCTTGAGGACCTTATAGAGGGTAAAGACTGGACAGCATCCCGACGATTTCCTCGGGTAACCCTCTGTGATTTTGAAATCCGACAGTTGCCTAATTTGAACCGCTATACAGTCCAATGCGTACTTCCAATAAATTTGTTTAATGAGAAGATCTATATATTTCTTTGGTTTTGGCTAGTTTTTGTATCGATTCTTTCTTGCTACAGTTTTGCCTCATGGATTGTTCACATGATCTTCCCCACCACTCGCATACAGTACGTGCGAAAGTTTTTAAAAATTATGGATCGCATAGGGACAACGCCGGACAAGAAGTTGGCGAATCGGTTTACTGTAGAATATTTACGTCATGATGGCGTCTTTACGCTTCGCTTAATCGGCAAGAACTCAAGCGACATAGTGGTCGCTGAAATAGTATCTGGACTTTGGGATATCTACAGAAGTAAGAAATCTATTCAAATACGAAGCAATGGACACGACACAGAGGGCGAAGATGTATAACGATGACTCTATGTGTTTTTAGAGAAGAGACAAGACTTTAATCCATTCAATGAATGGACGAAACAAAACGAAAAAAAAAAAAAGACTTCGCCCCAAAATATATAAAGTGAAGAAACATACTGAAGTCGAACCAGAGATACCTAAAGGATTCTTTATTCAAAGAATCGTTTTTCAAAGTCAAAATGACAGACTCAAAAAAGAAAAGAAAATGGTAAAAGACTGAATATTTACACAAGAATTTTTGAATGTGAAAATGAAATACCTATGACGAAGAAATCTTCCTCAGGTTTGATTTTAGAAGCATCCATCAAAAAGCATGTACATATATATACATCTGTCGATGCAGGAATTGGGAATATAAACAAGTAATGTATTCGAACGCATCAATGCGTGTACGAATATAGACGTAGGTATATAACAGTGTACACAGATGCATGCACGAGTGTTTATGTGGAAAAAATACAGTGCCTATTAAGGTAAAAACCGCAGCCATCAATTTTCATTTACTTATGTATATTTATTTATATTATTATTTTTTTTTTTTGTATTCTGCGAACAATATTGGTAAATTGCTTGTACGGGTTCGAGTCGAGGAGTTGTCATTGAAAACTATTTGTGAAAATGTTGAGGTAATGAACTTTAACCGACATATGAACTAAATGAACTCAAAGAAAACATTAGTTACATGGAAAAAAAAAATTCCCTACATAGCATCTGAAAATGCAAGCGCACATTTACATATAAATACACCCACATACACAAACACAAATATATATATATATATATATATATATATATATATATATATATATATATATATATATTTAAAAAGAGTGAATCCTGCTGAAATTGGGTTAGTCTTTGGAACTATACAACTTTGAGAACTATTTGATTTACAATTAAATGTAAATGGCAATAACCATTGCACAAGGTCAAAGTGCCAAAATCATATGCCTATTCCCAAATATATATATATATATATATATATATATATATATATATATATATATATACTTCATAATTAAATTTATGGCAAAAAATATATTTGCCAAAAGGAAAGACTAAATTAAGAGAGTGATCAATACAATTTTCAGAAACAAAAATGCAGGGAAAGTTAAAATGTAAAATATCCAAAACACTCACCTTTCTGCAAACACGGTTTCTACGAAGATGTTTTCGTCAGGCATTTGGTCAATATATATATATATATATATATATATATATATATATATATATATATATATATATATACATTTATTCAAATCCAGAGACTTCTCACTCGTGTTGGAGGAACACCTCCCTGATTTACCATGTCTTCAGTAACCATACTCATCATCCTTGGCTAATTCCGAGTTGAGGAGGCTATCATAGTCGGGGTTTTGAATTCATGGCTTGTCCTTCTAGATCGGTTGATACTCAATGCTATAGGACTCACTCTGTCCTGCTATCTACCCATAGGATATCATCTATGTATATCGATGATATTATTACGAAATATATATATATATATATATATATATATATATATATATATATATATATATATTGATAAATCCTTCAAGAGTGAATACATTTTGACCTTGGATTAGTCAATGATGCCTTATACCCATACCAGTCGGATGATTCAGAATGTTATTAAATATCGGCAATATCCATGAAGATACTCATATGCAAATATGTATATACATACTCGCATACAAATCAGCATGAATTCTTTTGACGACCATTTTCATGTAACTATATTCTTCCAACATCCGTGTAAACTATAAAACCAAGAATGAGCGAATATATGTATGTGTATGTACGTGTCCACCCAGGGGGTCGACTTCTATATATGCTACATCATGGTGTCTTATTCGATACGACATTTGAAGTAACAAGTGGGTACAAGACGATAAGAGAGATGCGTTCATTTTCAACGGGGATACGCCATGAAGATGCCTCAGACAGCAAAATTACAAATGGCGGCCAAAAAAATGATGGCGAGGAAAAAAAAAAAAGAAAAATTGGCGGGAAACATTGGTGTTAGCGTGCCTAACTGATTGTTTTATTTATAATTATTTATTGAATCGTTAGTTGTTTGTTTATTTTTTTTTTGTAATCATTTTTTAATTGTTTGAAGACTTAAAGAAAGAAAAAGAAAACAGACAATGAAAGAAAAGAAAAAAATAAAAGATATAGAAAGGAAGAAAAGGAAAGAAAAATGAAAGAAAACCAAAGACACTGAATGAAAAAAAACATTGGTTACACTTTCTTCTTTTTATTCCATCCGTTTCCTTAATGTGAATTCCAAAATGGCCTTCCAAACTCTTCCAATGTTGATAACATACACATAATATGTATATATATATATATATATATATATATAACACATACTATATATATATGAAAACACACATATATTATATATATATATATATATATATATATATATATATATATACACACACACACACACACACACACACACACACACACACATATATATATATATATATATATATATATATATATATAACTACATGCAAACACAAGAATGATCACTCTATAAAAAAATGTGAATCTGGGGTAGCTGGATATATTCAACACCCCACGTATAAAACATGTGCAGAGTAATTCAGAGATTTCATGAACTGATGATTGTAAGAGAATGAAACTCGGCGACATGGTAGGTCATTTTAAAATGCTATTTGATTGATGTATATATATATATATATATATATATATATATATATATATATATATATATATATATGTATGTATGTATGTATGTATATGTTTGTGTCTGTGTGTGTTATTGGGGCATAGAAAAGAAACAAAAGAAAAGATCAGGGAAGTGGAAAACTTTTTTATAATGACAACGTATTTCACCTTCGTTAGGTAGTTAAGTAGGTGTCTTTTATTCTGACCAGAACACCCCCACTTAACTACATATCATAGGCGAAATGCGTTGTCAATAAAAAGGCTTCCCATCAATCTATATATATATATATATATATATATATATATATATATATATATATATATATATATATATATATATATATATATATATATATATATATATATATATATATATATATATATATATATATATATATATATAGCGACAGTATAAAGCCAAAAAGACTGTCAGTTAGTGGAAGAAAGGACGATTGATGCAAGCAATCTTTTGCAATATAATGCTCGATATCAGATATAGACCATTAATAGGTTGAATACTAATATACAATTTTCCAAAGAAAATACTAATATAAAATTTTGCAAATAAAAAAATGTTCGATGTTTAATAACGGTACTAAACTATATATTAATAATAAATATGCATTTTTCCTCGTGCAATTTCAGGTGCTGACTAAAAACAATCAACACCTGACAATTTATAATCCATATTTATTATTATTACATGCATGCATACATTCACACATACAAACACACACAAAACACATATACACACACACAAACACACACACACATATATATATATGTGTGTGTGTGTGTGTGTGTGTGTGTGTGTGTATGTATATGCACACACAAACAGGTTTAGTTAAATGAATTAAGCATATCATGTCGATTAGTTTTCGTTGTGATCCTTTCAAGTTTGCGAATTAATTTCTTGGTAGACTTAGAAAATTGATTAAGAAAAACACCAACATTTTCTTTCAAATAGTTTTTATTTCCCCATGTATTTTCAATTTTATCTGAGAATATCTTCAACGTTTTAAATTGTCTGTGAGTATGTATATGTATTTCTGTATTTGTCTGTGCATAGTTCAATATATCAGCGCTTAAAAGAAGACTCATCCCCATACTTACATATTAGACGGATATTAGTTGAAAATACATCTATATTACATAAATAACAATAATAAGCAAAAACTAAAAATCTTTGAAGCCCTTTATATAAGTGAGTTAAAGACTAAAAATAAATAAAGTAAACTAGGTGTATACCAACAAAGTCCTTAAATACATATGAAGAAAAAAAATTATTACGTACGTATGAGCAAAAAAAAAATGCTACTCCCCTTATATTAAGAAGAAAAAAAAATACATGTAAAAATTGAAATTTTGAAATCTAGAGAGTTGCTTATGCAATAAAAAAATAACATAGAGCCGAAATGTTTTAAATTCAGGGAAACACATATGGATACTTACAGACAATTTAACCCCCGAAGGTGGTCTTAGATGGGGATTGAAAGTACTTAGAAAAATAAAAAATATTTGAAAGAAAATGTTGGTATATTTCTTAATCAATTTTCTAAATCTACCAAAAACTTAATCCGCAAACATTAATCACAACGAAAACTAATCGATATGATGCCTAAATTATTTAACCATACCTGTTTGAATGACAATTTTCTGCCTAAATATACATAATACATGCATACATATATATATATATATATATATATATATATATATATATATATATATATGACGGGCTGATTGTTCCAAGGACTGGTGTTAAAATTTGTTATGGCTTTCACCAGTTTGTGGTGAGCGCTACCAATATGATATAATCGTGCGTATCGGAATGCCTACTTTGTGTATTTTTGGTTAGACCATAAAGTTTGGGTATTCTTGGGTGGAATTCTATTAGTTTATACGATGACATGTTTCCATTATTAATTTCCTGATTACTCTGTTAAATTTCTGTGTTTCTATATTTAATTCGCGTTCATCTGTTTTCTCGTACGTGTTTGTATCGTCAAGTAGTGATTTAAATTTTATCATTGTCTGTTTTCCTATTCATAATACCAATTCCATAAGAGCACACGCAACGATAAAACTGAATTACTATTCAACGATATAGAATAAACTAGAAACGCATCAGGTGAGGAGAATATAAAACTGACTGCGGATTTGAATCGTCCGGCTGTTATCTGACAAAATATATGAGTATTTTTTTTGTTTTGTTTTGTTTTGTTTTGTTTTGTTTTTGTTTTCGTTTGAGCAACTATTTTCAGTTCTTCTGGACATTTACTTAAAAACAAAAACAA